AATCACGCAAAACACGCATTTTTGCCGTTTTCGTTCGTCACGCCGAACGAAAAATATTTTTCTCCGCAAAAGCTTTTTGACCGATATTCCTCATATTTTTCCGGAAAATTTGATACCATGTTAAGCTCTTTATCACTATTAAAAACGGAAATGAGCGTCGTTCAAGATAACCGTCCGTACGCGCGATTTTTGTAATACATTGCATATATGGGCAAAAACATGCCTATGAAAAGTCCATTGGGATGATAGGGATTGCCAATTTTTTTTTCATATTTAGATAGAGTATGAGTCGGAGGTAGGATTTCATATCTCATTTGGCCATTAAGTACATCTTAACGTCATCATAATGGCCTTGGAAGTCAAAAACAAAATTGCATATTATGACGTCATTGTATTTATGAAAAATGTAGTGTATTTCTCTCAATATTCATCGATTCTCTTTGAAATGTCGATATTTGTAGATAAGGCAATTCTCTACACGATCACTTTTCACTAAGTTTCATTTTAATGAGGTCATCATAGTAACAACATTCAATTAAGAGGCCCAATGTCAGAATTTTCGGTCATTTGCGTGTTATGTCTATGGAAGGTGAATTTCGTTCACATCATGAATCTACATGGCATTCATCTATGAGCACTATCTATCTTATGTTTGTGCTCTGTTTTCTCCCAAATTTGGGGTATGTTATAGCTGAGACCGATGGCTATCAAAACGGTGTACTTTGTTTTTCGATCAGATGATGAGATCATATCACAATTTTCAGTTGAATGTTGAAATGATGAATATGTCCACGTATGTCCTATTTGTGAAACCTAAACGTTAGCAGTGTCCTCGTATTGAAATTATGGTAGGAAACCCTTTTACTTTCTAGACTTTACTCTCAGACACTATTGAGTGACTGACTGACATCTTTTTTTCTCTGGTAATAAAATACATAAATAGCGTTATAGAGAACATGAGCATTCGGCTACATTAATAACCCACTCTGTTCTCATTGTTCATTTCTATTCAAGACTTGAATAATGACGAACTTCATTCAATATTTGGTAGTAATACTACAGATACTTATACTGATATCAATGATTAAACTATTTATCCGAAAAAGAATATGAGTTTTCATTTCAGTAGGTTTCTGAACTGTAAATATTATATTGATGAGGATTTTACGACTGATTCAGTAACATTAACTATCATTTTAGTATTTTACATTTTAATTCGCGTAGTTTAAAACAAAAATTGTAATGCTTTATCCAATTGATCTGTACTTATGTATGAAACTTGGGTTTAATGATAGTACGCCACTATTATTCAAAGTGTTTGGTCATTCATTTATACATTTTAATCGCCAAGTAGAAAGGGTACAGGTGTTGGTCTATTGGTCGCTGACAATTTTGAATATGAAATACGCAATGAATACTTTATATTATACCCATCATACAACTATGAATCACTGTTTATTGAAAGCAATTTGCCGAGACATGAGAATATTATTGTAGTGTCATATATAGGAAACCCCAATCAAATATCAATGATTTCATCCTGTCTTTGAAAATGTTTTACAAAAAAAACACATACTGAACATAACAGGTTTATATAATGGGAGATTTTTAACATGATCCCGTGGAAATTTTACTGGCAATGCTGTATGTAATTCCTGAGCGAAATACATTCAAATATTTGTATTCCTTTAATTGACAAGCCTTCAAGAAAGACTGACGGATCAATATCCCTCTAATCCACATTCCTTATACAGTACAGTATATATCCATCCGATATTTAAAGATTTTATTTTCAAGCAACTAGTGAATCTCACGTCGACAACTCAAAATGATCGCTAATGTATTCTCACACTTTTCATTTACGCCGGACATCGTGACGTCATACACTGTACATTTTTAATTATTCAGGGATAAGCTCTTATTTATCAATTATATTTTTCATTTCTTTGAATCAGAATGAAAATCGTCAAAATGCGTTCTTCATGATGTAAATTAGAGTCAAAGGGGTAACTGGTTACTGCACAGAGTCAATGGTCATATATTGTCTCAATCTATCTTCCCTATATCCATAATGATCAGGGATCGACACAATTTAAACTTGACATATGGATAGATCATTATGGGAAGAGCATTTATAAAATAATATGATATCGTGTAATGCATTCTTTGGTAGGTAAACCAATATCATACGTATCACCTAATTCGTCTAAGTGACGAATTAAAGTCTAGTTAGGTGATACTTACGTAACGAAGTCAACGTATCACCTTTTGATTTCGTCAAGATTTTTATTTATTTTTTTTTTTTATTTATTATTCTTCCTCGAATTTGTTCGCAGGATATCTCAAGACTCAATAAAGCCATTGTTTTATGAATCTTTCACTGATGATAGATCTTAGTCTAACTTAGAACTGCGTGACTTTTCAAAGACTCAAAGTCTCGTGACGTCATCCAGGCGCCATTTTGTAAAAATCAACTTATGATCATATCTTCATAACGGAAAGTAATTTTACATTCATATTTATCAAGATTAAGATCAATATCCGTCGGATCAATATGAGGTCAATAAATGCGCGCAAAAATGCGCGTACGCGTAGGCGCGCGCGTCAATGCGCGCGTAAAATTTTAAATTGCTCAAAATCGTCTTAAATTTTTTTGCATACGTTTCAGGCCATTTTAAGCATTTCTAAAAAATCACCGCAAACCACGCATTTTTGCACGTTTTCGTTCGCACGGCCGAACGAAAAATATTTCTCCTTCGCAAAAGCTCTTGACCGAATATTCCTCATATTTTTCCGGAAAATTTGATACCATGTTTAGCTCTTTATCACTATTAAAACGGAATGAGCGTCCGTTCAAGATAACCGTCCGTACGCGCGATTTTTGTAATACATTGCATATATGGGGCAAAAACATGCCTATAAAAGTCCATTGGGATGATAGGGATTGCCAATTTTTTTTTTCATATTTAGATAGAGTTGAGTCGGAGTATGATTTCATATCTCATTTGGCCATTAAGTACATCTTGACGGCATCATAATGGCCTTGGAAGTCAAAAATACAAAATTGCATATTATGACGTCATTGTATTTATGGAAAATGTAGTGTATTTCTCTCAATATTCATCGATTCTCTTTGAAATGTCGATATGTTGTAGATAAGGCAATTCTCTACAAGATCACTTTTCACTAGTTTCATTTTAATGAGGTCATCATAGTAACAAAATTCAATTAAAGGCCACATGTCAGAATTTTCGTCATTTGCGTGTTTATGTCTATGGAAGGTGAATTTCGTTCACATCATGAATCTACATGCATTCATCTATGAGCACTATCTATCTTATGTGTGCTCTGTTTTCTCCCAAATTGGGGTATGTTATAGCTGAGACCATGGGCTATAAAAACGGTGTACTTTGTTTTTCGATCATATGTTGGGATCATATCGAAATTTTCAATCGAACGTTGAAATTGCAAATTTTGAAGGAATCATTATGGTGATGCGTACAAAAAGTATACGTATCATTAGGTGATACGTAACGAAGTCAATCGTATCCCTTTTGATTTCGTCAAGATTTTTATTTATTTTTTTTTTTTATTTATTATTCTTCCTCGAATTTGTTCGCAGGATATCTCAAGACTCAATAAGCCCATTGTATGAATCTTTCACTGATGATAGATCTTAGTCTAACTAGAACTGCGTGACTTTTCAAAGACTCAAAGTCATCGTGAACGTCATCCAGCGCCATTTTGTAAAAATCAACTTATGATCATATCTTCATAACGGAAAGTAATTTTTACATTCATATTTATCAAGATTAAGATCATATCCGTCGGATCAATATGAGAGGTCAATAAATGCGCGCAAAAATGCTCGTACGCGTAGGCGCGCGCGTCAATGCGCGCGTAAAATTTTAATTGCTCAAATCGTCTTAAATTTTTTTTGCATACGTTTCAGGCCATTTTAAGCATTTCATAAAAAATCACGCAAACACGCAATTTTGCACGTTTTCGTTCGTACCGGCCGAACGAAAAATAATTTCTCGCAAAACTCTTGAACCGAATATTCCTCATATTTTCCGGAAATTTGATACCATTTTTAGCTCTTTATCACTATTAAAAACGGAATGAGCGTCCCGTTCAAGATAACCGTCCGTACGCGCGATTTTTGTAATACATTGCATATATGGGCAAACATGCCTATGAAAAGTCCATTGGGATGAATAGGGATTGCCAATTTTTTTTCATATTTAGATAGAGTATGAGTCGAAGGTATGATTTCATATCTCTTTGGCCATTAAGTACATCTTGACGGCATATAATGGCCTTGGAAGTC